CCTCAGTCACACAGCCAGGCATGGTCCCAGGATGCCGACCGGCCCTCCATCATCAGTGCCACAGACCTGAAGGAGCTGGACAACCTGGACACTGATGCCGATGAAGGCTGGGCAGGTGAGAGTCTGGGGACAGGGGATGCAGGTCAGCAGACAGGGTGGAGCTGTGTGGACTTGGTGCTACAACATGGAGAGAAGAGGCGGGGATCTTGCTTGTCCTACAAAACCAGGGGTTGTTGCCAACTTTATTTCCATCCCTGTTACTGAAATGAGGTTAGAAAATGTCTTGAAAAGGTGATGGTAAACTGTGACGGAAGGCAACAGGATTGATTTGACACAGCTAGTCTTTCCATTCAATAAAATATTGACGTCATCATTTTCTCTTCTTCAGATCCACATTACGAAGATAATTGTTTCACAGAGGTTTCATTTGCTACATTGTGATCATACTAGGGCATTATAGAATAGGTCTCAAACTTAAAGCTTGGAGATATCAAAGGTTTGATCAGGGCTCAGGTCAGTCACAACTGGAGCAGAGAGGCGAGTGTGATTTGAGGATAGAGAATGTAGAGAAGTCAATGTGGAAGGGATAAAAGCCAGGGGGAAATATGAAAGCATCTCCTAACGTATAGAAAATGTGATCCACAGTGGCTGTTGAAGTATAGAGAAGGCATGCTAATAATTTAAAAATAAGTATTAAAGATAAGCACTGGAGCTTTGTTGTAATGGTAAATTTGTTCTGTCTGTCTGCTGGATGGTCAGGAGCCCAGATGGAGGTGGACTACACAGAAAAGCTCAACTTCAGTGATGATGAGGAGAACCAGTCTGGGAAGGACAAAGGAGATAACTGGTGAGTGGTCTGGAGTTTTTCAGACTGTAGGCGGTCTTACTGTTCTTACTCTACCTAAGTGGATGATGTGTTCTTGGTCGGAGTCTTTATGACGTGTTAGTTAATGTGTAAACCACCAGCACGGATGTCTTAGTACCACATTTATAATGGGATGTATATTAGATGAGATGCTCATTCTCATTACAGAAACAGCTTCTCTTCATTTCTAAACTTAAATTAGTCCATCAGCATAGTCATTCAAAGGAGTGGGGAATTCTCACTGTGTATATGAGAGCTTAACGCTTTGCCCTGTGCCACAGGGAGTGGGTGAACAAGGTGGATGGCCTGCGTTCGCGCGGCTCGGAGGGAACGGAGGGGTGGAAGGAAGGCGGCGAGGACAGGGCGAGCGGCAAGGCCTCCAGGGGCGACACCGGAGCGCATAGGCCCCCCTCCCCCACCAGCAGAGGGCAGTACAACAAGGGCAGTCAAGCCCTCGAGTACCAGGTGAGCAGGAGCCCCTGGGACCTGCAGGCAGAAATGTGACTGATTGCCTTACCTCCCCCCGCCTTGAGGGAGGTGGGTGCTGCTTGTCTGTCTGCTTGTAGTTGGACCTTTTCCAAACAGTGGCTCTGAGAGGTGTCGCAATACCGGTCTGCCTGCTGCAGCAGTGAAACAGGGAAGGTGCGAAAACTGGTACCTGACAGAGGTGTGACGTAATCGCAAGGCTTTCAGCAAAAGAAACGAAATTACTAGAGTGCGTCAAACTCGAGTTTATTAGAAAGGCACGTTTTGTCGAGAAAAGGTGGGGAATCCTCAACTTCAGCCACTGCCCCTTTGTTGCTTTGAATCCACCTCCTGATCCTGAGACTTGCAGTGATATGCGAGGTCTTTGAAACCATCTTTAAGTACAGTGCACAGATAGCCTGTAGCTTTATTCTTGGTGCTGATTTACCACGCTGTTGCCCTTACAGTGCACTTTGTCTGCTGTGCTGCTGGGCTAATTCAGCTCCTCCCCTCCGTAGGCTGCAGGGCGTGTCTCGGTGGCCGGGGGGCCGCGGGCCGGGAAGCCCGGCTCCTCGACGCTCCCCGCCACAGAGGAGGACGCGGAGGCGTGGCGGCAGAAGCGGAAGAAGCAGTCGGAGCTGTCGGAGGCGGTGGAGCGCGCCCGGCGGCGCCGCGAGGAGGAGGAGCGCCGCATGGAGGAGCAGCGGCTGGCCGCCTGCGCGGAGAAGCTCAAGAGGCTGAACGAGAAGCTGCGGGGCCCTGAAAGACAGCCCTCCCCCACCCCCGCCCCCGTCCCCGCCCCGCAGAACGAGGGGGATGCCACCGCCGCCGTCGTCGCCCCCACCGCCCCTGAAGCCCCACCGGCCCTGGCGCCAGCGCCGCTGCCTACCCTCGTCGAGGGGGAGTCCAGAGGAGAGGGGCCAGAGGAAGAGCCCCAGCCTGCGCCGCCCCCGCCCAGCTCCCTGGACAGGAGCGAGGGAGAAGGGCCCGTCACAGAGGAGAGCGCGGGAGAGCGAGGCCCCAGGAGAGACTGCTGCAGTGCGGAGGAGAACAGAGGTGAGGGGGCAGCAAAATCAGCTCCTGTCCT